CCTAAGTCCTACTTAAGCTCAAACCAGGAAAAATTACAGCATAGACATGGGGAAGTGGGTAAGAAACCTCAACTCTACCTGAGGAACAAACTATTGGCAACCAATGGTTGCTGGGAAGGGGCGAGTTGGTCTATTTTGAATATGGGACTTTTGGTAGGCTAACCAGGCTCTAGTGGCGGACCCACACTGAAGGACATTTGGAGGTACAAACTAGACTTTATAGGCCTTGTTATATATAATTGAGTACATTAAATTGGGCAGGGGGTAGGAGAGGTGTGGCTAGGTGAGGGCATCCAAATACGATCAAGATATATTCTATGAAAATCATAAAAACTCAATTAAAAAATAAATGATAAAGGAAGAAGAAAGAGAGAAAGAGAGAGAGAAAGAAAGAGAGAGAAAGGAAGGAACGAGCCTTCTTCATAGCTGGATATGGTGCTGCACACCTTTAATTCCAGAGCTCTGAAGGCAGAGGCAGGATCTTTATGAGTTCTAGGCCAGCTGGGTCTACAGACCAAGGGCTACATAGTAAGACCCTCTCAAAACAAAAAATAAAATAATAAAAACACAAAAGCCAAAGCCCACTTTGTCTGAGTAGAGGTCTCTGGGAAAAACCAACCATCCCTCCTCAGGCTGTGTCTCAGGGCTCCACTCTCCCTGACACTGTCATAAGCACTTGATCTTATTTATATTGATGGTTCCACCTGGTGAGAACCCTGTAGTGGGCCACCCTGAGTGTGCTTCTGTGCGGTGCTGGCCCCTTGAGAGTACTAGGTTGATTGTGGTAAGAAATCATGGAAATCAGCAAGTACAATGATCAGGATATCTTTTATAATCTTGGATTTTGAGAAGTGTCTTTCTGCTGATCCAGTGGTTATAAGAGCTGCTGGGAGTGTTTTAGAGGCCTTCGTAACACTGGGTCAATGTCTGATAAAGTATTTCAAAATAAAAGTTGGCCAGGCATGGTGGCACACACCTTTGATCCCAGCACTCAGGAGGCAGAGGCAGGCGGATCTCTGGGAGTTCAAGGCCAGCCTGGTCTACATAGTGAGTTCCAGACCAGGTGGGGCTACAGGGAGATCTATCTCAAAAAAAAAAAAAAAAAGTATATCTAAGTACATCTAGAGTCCATGAAGCTGATGGAATAATTTTTCTAAAAAGAAAAAAAATTAACTCCATACAGCTTTGTTCTACAACTTTGTTCTGTGTAACTCTGAATTTATTTTTAAATGTAAATTTATGCAATGGCATTTTAGTGCTTTTGACATTTTGGTGTAAATTGCAGCAAGCATACGAGAAACTAAAAGTTTTTTTTTTTTTATTTATATGTAAGTGTAAGCTAAAAATGTATGCAAGTAACGTTCCATTCTTGTGAAAACACTGTTCTTTTCTGTTACACAAAACCATTTAAATTCTAAGAGGAGGTATTTACTTTGTATGTGGCAGAGATCCCAAATTTTCTGGAGAACCCTAGTCAGTCTTTTCATTGATGGGAAATTACAGAAGGGGCCTCCTGACCTTCCCCTGAAGCAAGTCACACAGACGGCTGCGGTCTGACATAATCCACTTTAAAGAGAGTTTATTTTGGCACACAGGCTTGGAGGTTGCAGCTCACAGCCAGTGGGTCCCTCTGCTTTTGGACCTAAGATCCAGAAGCCTCCATGGTGGGGAGTGTACAGAGGAGCAAAATCACTCACCACCTTTAAGGAAAAGGGCAGAGGAAGGGGGTGGGTGGGGCTGTGGTGGGGTTGGGGGCCTTAGAGGGGTCCTCTTTGAGGGCACACCCCCAATGACCTCAAGCCTCCCACTAGGCTCTATCTCCTAAAAGCAGGGGTAGGGAGCTCCCAGAGCACCACACCGGGGAGCAAGCATTCACTTTCCAGTATGGACCTCTAGAGGGCACTGGTCTCTGAGTGGTCACAGCCAGCATGTGAGTTAGCAGGGGTGCAGTCAGTGCTTGTCCTGATAAGCCCCGCAGTTCCCCTGGTTACTATGGTCAGGTCCTATCATCTGTCCTTCCATGTTCTCCCATAATCCTCTACTGTCCATCAGACCCAGTAGCAAAAGCACAAGGCTTAACTACCTTTGGGTCTTCATTTCCCAACGTCTCCTATGTCTTTTAAAATCATATCTTAATTTATAAGCTCTCCTTGTTCATTTATCTTGTGTGGACCCAGTCAAGAGCACAAAAGAATAGGCAGGAGGGGAACTTTCCTCCCCTGTAAGGTGCCCCAGTGCAGTGTCCACGTGCTCTTGTCTTGTAAGAACAGACTGACAAAGTTTGCTGTCTAAGTGATGGGATTGAAGGTGAAGACTTGTTTGTGACACTCCTGTTTATTATGTGAAGATGCCAGATGAAGCTTCAGGGATGGAAGGGGAGGCAAGGGTTACCTCCACGAAGAGCCCCTCTTGTCTCCCAGGGACCCGGCCTGTACCGTCATCACGGCTCCCACCAGTCTGAGCCCAGGGTGTATCACAGCCACTGCCTTAGACCATGTGGTAGTCCAGACTGCCCCACACCTGCCTGGCCAGGCACTGCCCAGTTTTAAGAGTACATGTTATCTCTTGCCTACAGGGTAAGAATTCTTGTTTTTAAGAATAGGTAATATTTCAATTACTAGAGGGGCTGCAGGGCTGGCTCAGCACTTAAGAGCACTGGCTGCTTTTGCAGAAGACAGGGGTTTGGGTTCCAGCACTCACATGCCAGCTAACAACAGTCCGTAACTCCAGTTCCAGGGATCTGATGCCCTCCTCCGTCCTCCACAGGCATTGCATGCATGAGTGCCTTTAGATACAGGCAAAACACTCACACACACAAAATTAATTGTTACTAGGTACCAAAATGATTTTTAAAATAAATTATGTTATCAACCATTTTGTTGAATTTCTGCCTTTGTAACATTATGTTTGATCTCTTGTATATAGCATACCCAAATAAGGACTATTGTTAGGTTGAAAAATCACAATGGAATGGGTTCAAGGAAAAAAATATTGAATGGTACTCACTAAAAGCTCAGATAGGCCTTATTCAGGACCAGGTGACAGGCATAGACCATGCCAATGGGATCTTGCAGTGAGGAGTGGGACCAGGGCTCCACTTTGAATGCAGCCTGGGCAAGCAGGAATGGATAGCCAGATGAGTGGAGGTCTGTGGATGGACTATTGCTAACGTTTGATAGCAAAGTTAGGGAGGTGTTGTGGTTTGAATGGAAAAGTCCTCTGTAGTTCGAATGCCTGACACTGTTTTCAGAGGTTGTGAAACCTTTAAGAGGTGGATTCTTACTGGAGGAAGTGGATCACTGGGGATGAACCTTAAACTTTTAGTCAAGTCCTACTTCCTGTCCCACATCTGCTCTCTCGTCTGCCCAGTCAGGAGCGAGGACTTTCTCACAGCATCAAGGAAAGTAACAGACACAAGAAGAATCTGGCTAAACTGACCTCTCAGGGTTGTTGCTGAAGTCAGCCCAGCGTGGTCAGACATCACCAAGGGCATGGTAGAGATGGGGAACCTGATCAGATATTGAGGGTCACCAAATAGTCCCATTTAGTGGGGTTCTTTGCTAAAACTGGATTTTTACAAAGTGTGCATTCTTCACAGTCTTAGGACAAGCATGAAACTGTTGAGGTTTGGCCAAGCAAAAACTCTTTGCAGTTATTTGGAATTTAAAATGCCAACTTGCCCTTTTCGTGTCCTAACATCTTTCAGAAATCTCATCCATGTAATTTTTATGAATGACTCAGTCGGAGCATCAGGCTTTTCTGTGAGCAATTGTGTTTTAGATTGCTCTGGGTGATCAAAGATGCCTTAGAAGGCCACACTCCTATAACTACCAATCCTTAAAAATAATCAGAGACTAATAAGAATGACATCTAACTTCCTGTTGGGCCCCTTTATTAGCGGAGATAAGTGTTTTGAGAGAGGAGCAGCCAGCTCCCCTGTCACTTGCTCTCAGACACCAACGCCTTGTAGCAGGAACAGGATTGAGTCAGGAAATGATGGAGCTTCTCCCCACACTTGCTCTGAGGCTCATAATTTATGTTCCAATCCATGTGTCAGGCATTGGAACTGTCGTAAGTTGAAACATGCTGAACACTTCTAACCTACTGAACTCAAGCTTAGCAACCCAGACACTGCAGTTGCCAGTGGTCCAGGCTGTGGCTGTCTGGAACTTCAGGAAGGTCAAATGCAACCCTCAAAGTGTGATTTCTGCTCAGTGAGCATGACTTTCACTCCATGGTCAAGTTGGAAACCCTAAGATGAATCATCTCTAGTCTGAATGGATCCCAAATCCATTATTTGAGCCAAAGAATAGAAATGTCAGTGAACCTGGAGGACAGCCAGCAACTGGGCTCTCCTTGTCCTGGGGGACAGCCAGCAACTGGGCTCTCCTTGTTGGCGCTGCCCACTGAGCTTCCAGAACCCTCTCCCCTCTCTCTGGAGTCTCAGCTCTGGTCCTCCTTCATCACTCTTTGTGACTGACGACTCTGATCCCAAAAGATAAAACAGTTGAGGGATGGGCAGATGTGCCTTCTGTGGAGGTGACAGGGATGTTAGGAAGGAGGAGGGACAGTGCGTGGTCTACACAAATCTGTCCTTGAAGCCACTTTCCTGGGTTATGATATTGTCTCTAGAATGCTCTTGTTCATCACCCATCAACCTACTATGACCATTTCTCCAGGACAGTGCCCTTCTAGTTAGCCTGTTAACCTTAGGAAGCATCTGTCTTGCCAACACACATACATGCACACGCACGCACACACACACACATGTGCACACGCACATGCACGCACACACACACACACACACTTGCACCCATGTGCATACACATAGGCTCTCACACAGAGACTCATGCACACTCATACATACACACACGCTCTCACACACAGACTCATGCACACACATGCATACATGCAGGCACTCTACACACAGATTCATACACAGAGAGAGAGAGAGAATACTTGAGCACCCATCCCTATCTAGCAGTGTTGCACCAAATAAATCTACATCTATTTTTATTATGTGAGGAGGAAGGGCTGTACATTAGCTGTGTAGGGGACAGAAGACTCAGGTGTCTGGAATCTGGCCAGGACAGCCAGTGAGGGTTTGATGTGGGGATGGAAGGATGTCATGGTCCAGGATTCCACTTCACCAAGAAAACAAGATCAAAACAAAACGCAGAAAGGGCCAAGTGTGGTGGCGGTAAGTTCAGTAATAAAGAGTCATCAGTCTCCGAAGGACCTAAAAGAATTAATGGATTCTTCAGTCTTGGAGAAATTCGGCAACTGTTACGGTGTAACGTCTCATTTACATATTTATTAACTATGTAATATCTTATTTACATATTGTGTTTAGCATTTAAAAAGGCAACAGTCTTAATACAGGAAGTTTCCAAGCGGAGCCAGTGCCCGGCCAGTCCGCAGTTGCTGTTCTACTCTGTATTGACTGAGTCAGGGCAGTTCCAAAGCACCCACCGCCCGGGAAGTAATAATAATCACGTCCAAGAGATCAGTAATGACAGGGGTTCAAGTATCTGGGCCTGAGAAGCTCAGGCTGGGATTAAAGGCATAGCCGGTGCCAGGCCTGGTTGGGCTACGGAGACACTGTCTCAAACCAAAACCAAAACCAAAACCAGAGGAAAAGTGATTTGTTCGTCGCCCCTCGAATAGCCTTAAGAGTTTAAAGGAAAAAACCAAAGGAGGAGAAATGTTGCAGACACCAATTCTGAATTAAAGAATAAATAAAACTCAAGGTTTCTTGTTTTGTTTTTTATATACACACACTAGCAGAAACGCGGTGAAGAGAGTACACGCGGAGGTGGTCCAGTGGCCTGGGGTGCGTTCCCTGGGATCTGGGGACCCGGCTGGGGATGTGCGCCCCGCTTACCGGGGCGCGCGATGGGGACCTGCAGGTGCCGGCTGGCCCAGCTTGTCGGCGCAGTCCGCCGCGCCGCGGACACTTTTGCGGGTCTAGACAGGGCGTCAGGGATGCAGACTGCGCACCTGCGAGGCGCGCTGGACCCCAGCCCTGGGCGGCGGACGCGCCCCCTCATCCGCGCAGATGGGTCGGGGACGCCGCGCTCGGCGCAGCAGGCCGAACTCGGTTGTCCTCCCCGCGGGTCCTCCGGGCCACCTGCGCGCTCCGGCGGCCGGGGACGCGGCACCCCGGGGCGGGGCCGAGGGGCGGAGGCCAGGTGCCGGTCCCGGGATCCGGGGGGCG